GAAGACTGCGATGCCTGATGAAATATTAGCTTAAAGACTGTTTTTTTCAGACTCCTTCAGTAATGTAAGTAACCAGACACTTAAATATGACTTCTATTATTAGTATTTAATAGCCAAGAATCCTTCCAATTAATTATGGCTAACGTTTATCATATCAACAACTTACAAAATATAAGGAAATAATAAATTTGAGAAAACTACCAGTTTAGTGGCTAGAAATGTAGTAATGGAGCCATTTAACCATGTCCAAGATTCTTATAAGATATGGATCAAGCACCAAGAACCACTAGCATTTAATTCAATAGTAGACTTTAGAGTTTAGTTCTAGTATCATAACTCCCCAAACACTTACATACAAATTCCTACATTTCAGGATTTATACATAAAACTGATACCAACTGCTTTTTAAATTGCTGCCAAAAATTATTTTTAAAAACTATCTGCTAATACTTGCTTCCTAATGTTAAGGCGATCATGACCACACATTGCTTTATCTGTAGTGGGTGCAAAGTATTCAATTATGATTATCTATCATCTCAATAATCTAGCTATCCTTAAACCTACAAAGTTACCAAAGTACAGAAAATTTAAGAAGGTAGAAAAGTTGAAAAGTCATACAGACCTTGGGTAACTCCAGTATGGTATTCTATTTAGCAGCACAGTAACAAAAAACAACTGAATACTGTAACTGTCCTACCTGAAGTAGGACACCACAGTGAGTGGCCTTAATACGTTCTTTGGCTCTTTGGTAAAGATAACCCTACCCTAATGAAAATGTAGTATGAAAGGTCTTTAATAGTAACAGAAATGTTTGAAAATCCTTATTTCATATATCTGTTGTCCAAGGAGCTTAAGGTCACCACTCAGTAGCTGAGGTGCTAAGGCCCAGGAGAGAACTGAAGTGTGTGCTGCGAAGTAAGGCTGCTTCTTTCATTGCTCCAAGCATAAAAAATGGAGCACGCCATCTTATTCAATGTCAACAAGCATATTTAGGCATATGAATTCTGTTAAAACAATAGTACTGCTTTTTACTATACTTTTTATTGATACTTCATTTACTTGAACTTTGATTTTTTTTAAAGATACTGTTTAGTCAATAATCTGATCCATATTATTTGATACTGTGCAACTAAAAAATTGTAAGGTATGTTAGGTCTTATTTTGAATATTTTCTCTTCAAACCTGGAAATCTATACTATCATATAAATCAATCATTCTATTTCTCTTTGAGAAGCAAACTATGCACACCACATTCTTTGTGATCACAAATTTAATTTATTAAGTGTATACTGAAGAGAATATGCAATCAGAAACCACAGAATTTCTTTGTGCATGTGAGAAGTTTAATGAATTTAAAAGGATCAGACTCAAACCCTTAGTCTGATTAGCGTCACACTCCAACCAAACCGCATTAACCTGCCCAGATGGCTCAATAAGAAAGACAGTGAAAACTAAAGGACTAAGACGAAAGAACGAACGGCTGTAGTTCCCATCTTACGGTTTCAGAATGATGAAGGTTTATGAAATTCCCACATTCTGAAAAGTGACTTCTTACATACCTCACCTCACAATCACAAAACTAGTCATCTAGAATGACTCTAATCTGAGGATATAATCATCAATTACTACAACGGATATTCATTCTGTGGTGTACATAGATATCTGGAATAATAGAAACAAAACAGAATTCAGCGAAAAGTAACACTTTAAATATCTCCATAGCAAAAAAAGATGCTGGGGAAGCTTCTCAGTAGTCACTGTTTAAGTTTTAAAATGTACACTGGAATATGAAGAGGAAGTCAAATTTATCTTTTCTGGAAGCTTGCAAGTCTTATTAACAAAAGATCATGAATGGGCCAGCAAGAGTGGTAGTCAACTGCAATTCCACCCAAGACAGGTACGATTCAAACTGTTAAGACATTCCAGAATTCAGTACACTGATGCTTCAAATGGCCATGTTAAAAAAACAAAACACAAAAACGCTTGCATATAGTTTGCTGGGATTTCATACTAACCATTAGAGGAGGTAGTGATGCATTGTGTTGGAACTTAAAGTACAATGTCAGCATTAACTGTAAACAATTCTGAAACATTGTATGGAACTTTTCAGAACACATTTAGTGACAAGGAATTAATTAGATTTCATATAAAATTAGAATTAGAAAAGCAAAAAATAGAAATATTTAGTAAATTTACTCAAAGGAAGTTTAAATGTTACAGAAATGAAAAATATTAGAACTCTATATACAATAAAGTGAATATAAATTAGCCAACTCCATGGACATTTCCAGTTAAACATTCATACAAATACATATTCACCTTTTTTCTTTATATAAGAATAACACATACATACAAACATAACATGAAGATTCTGGCCAAAAAAAATCAGAGATGCCAAAAATTTCTCAAGTTTAAAAAAATGGTGTTGAGTATATTTCAACAACATTCTACATGAATGTAAACCCCTGATTTAATTCCATGATTTTATCATGCCAGAAGCATGGTTGCTTTTAATTTTTTAAAAAAGATATACTGGTATTATAATACATTGGCTTATCAATAATTAAGGCATTTGTACACAGTATCAGTGTGAACAAAAAATTTTAATATTACTTACTATGATGTTTTAAACTTTCGAAGTCTTTCTGACAGAAGAAAATAGCTGCACACATTTAAGTGTTTCTTCATAAAACACAATAAAAATTTTAATGATTGGTCTTTATAGTTCCTGGTAATAAGTCCTGTCTTATTTTTATATACAATAAATCATATTCTTATGTAGGACTGAGTTAAGACCCAGTAGTTCTTAAACAACGCTACCAAATGGCCATTTAATTCTGCATGCAGCAAGGGCAAACAGTCTTCATAGTGCACTTTCACCTCATTGAAGTTGAAGCCGCTCCTTCTGGATATTTCCACTTCAATGTGAAGTAGGTTGTTAGGATTTCATTAGTGGTTTTATCATGTGGCTTTTTAAAAGAAAAAAAATTGGTTGTATTTCTTCCACAGTTCTCGGTTCTCAGGAGAGACCTACTTTTGGAAATCATATAATCCAGCGCTGTCTGAATAACCAAATACTCTTTAGAAGATGCAATCTCTCAATGCAGCTGTAATAAATAAGCATCTACATCCTTAAAGGAGGAAAGAAAATCCCATTAGTTAATTAAGCAAATACAAACACACTCAACCTGCCTTCTTTTCTGCTTGTTCCTTAATTTGCCCTAATTCCCTTTGAAACCTTTAAAAAGAAGGAAGAAATCTTATTCAAAATTTGATATGTGTCTGTTTACCACAGGTCCTGGCACATGTTACATGTTCAATAACGAATGTTTTGGTTCCCGTGCTTCAACAGCTCTGCTTTGTAGTTAACATTTACAGAAAGTCTGTAAGTGCTATATAAACCAAAACCCAAGGCATAGTTTGACAATTTCATCTTATTTTTAAAAATAATTTATTTTTATTTTATGTGTATGAATGTTTGTCTATTTGTATGTAAGTTCACCACAAGTATGCATACTGCCAGAAAAAGCCAGAAGAAGCCACTGAATCTCTTGGAATTGAAGTTACAGAAAGCTTTGAAATGCAATGTGTGTACTAAAAAGAGAAGCCAGATTCTCTGTAAGGAAGAGATCTTGAAATCTCTTCTCCAGGTCCACTCCCCATCTGCTTTGATTTTTAACCTGGAGAAAAACAAATGGTGTAGTGGAGCAGTCGAGGACTGCTGTGGAAGAGGAAGCCATTGTTTTTAGTGCCACATCCACTCACTCATGCCCCAGTGGATAGCTCATAAACAAAAAGAAAAGCAAGGCAAAAAGATACAAAAGTAAGCTAGGCAGTAGTGGCACCTGACTTTAATCTCAGCACTTGAGAGGCAGAGACACGCAGATCTTTGTGAGTTCAAAGCCAGTCTGATCTACAGAGTGAGTTCCTGCACACCCAAGACTATACAGAGAAACCATGTCTCAAAGAAACAAAAACCAAAAGATATAAAAGTGGAACAGTGACACGGGAGAGGAAGGATGACTGGAAGTAGTGGGAGGATAGGATCAGTATGACCAGAATGCACTATACACATGAATGGGTCAAAGAAAACATTTATTTTTAAAATTTTTTATGAAAATGTATAGCTTTTAATTCTTTTTCCTTACTCATTTTACATCTCGCCCATTGCTCCCTGAAAACATTTATTTTTAAAGCAACATATTTGGGGGCTGATATCGTAGCAAAGATTTTACTATAGACTTTACATTGTAATTTTAATTAATTTCACGATCACCATAGTATCTTAAGGCTATGTTTATAAGAAAGCTTTTCCTTTTTGATAAAAAGAGAAGTTAACCAGGCATGGCAGCACACTCCTCTGATCCCGGGGTACACCTGTCAAACGGTAACGCAGGTGTCCTAAGGTGAGCTCAGGGAGGACAAAAACCTCCCGTGGGGCAGAAGGGCAAAAGCTTGCTTGATCTTGATTTTCAGTAAGAATATAGACCATGAAAGCAGGGCCTTACGATCCTTCTGACCTTTTGGGTGGGTGATCTCAGCACCAGGATGGGCTTCACAGTGATGTAAGGATAGCCCTGACTATACAGATCTGTCTCAATAACCATAACATTAAAAAAAAAAAAATCAAAAATTTTGGCAAACAATGCTTTTCAGCTCTCCTAAAGTCTTCACAGTAATGTGCTATGTATACTTTAAAACCATAAGCAACAAACAACTTCAGAAAAATAGAGCTATTTATAAGACTTTAATCTAAATTAAAGATTCTGAAGAATATTAGAGGAGATGAATTTGTAAAAATTGTGACTATAACACAAAACATTAAAGAAAAACTCACTGTGTCAATAATCAGAGTAAAAGTGGTGAATAAAAAAAGAATTCTTGCCAGGCATGATGACATATACTTTTAATCCCAGCACTTGGGAGGCAAAGGCAGGTAGATTTCTGTGAGTCTGAGGCCAGCCTAGCCTACATAGCAAGTTCTAGGCTAGCCAGGGCTACATAGTAAAACTGTCTGAGCACAAACAAAAGACAAAGAGGTAAGGTAGGGAGGGAGAAAAGGGGATGGAGTAAGAGGCTGGGAAATATACAGTGATATATCTAATGCTCAGTCTCTTTTGTTTCTTTTTACATAGGTATCCAAGAAAATTTCATGAGCCAGTAACATAAACATTTCCTTAAATCATACGATGTTTTTATTTTATGGCAAGTAACTACTCATGACAGTAAACGCACAGCAGCAGGTGGAAATACTTCTTACCACCAATTCTTTCTGCAATTATAACTATCAATGTCCGCTAGGAGTTTAAATATTAAAATCCCAACTAGTAATGTGCCTTTTTCCTGTAAGAGATAAGCATATCAATACAAATCAATATTAAATTCACATATAACTCTTAAATTATAAATATAGATTACCTTAGCTATATTACCAGTATATCCTGGAACCAAAGTAAGATGATTTTCTTGTTCCCATAATCCATTCAACTGTTGCTTTAAAATCTTAATATTTCTGAAAAAAAAAAAAAAAAAAAACAAGAAAGCAAATAATAAGATACAGACTTGCTTTTCACTTATTTCTAGCAGTAGAAAAAAACCATATACTAAAATCAAGCAACTTCTTAAAATACTATATGCCATGCCAGACAGAAATTCATGAGTATTTGGTTGTCAACGAAGATGAGACAGCAAGTAGGCTTCTGTAGCAAGTGGACAGCTTTCTTGGGTATGAGGTAGAAAATTCTGTTGAGTCTACGAAGATTATGGAATTTAAGAGGGAGTTAGGGGGGAGAGACTGTGTTGTTTTCAACACTGTCTGGCTTTTTTATTTCTTTGTTCCTTAAAAAAAAAAAAAACTGCCCGGTGGTGATGGCGCACGCCTTTAATCCCAGCACTTGGGAGGCAGAGGCAGGCGGATTTCTGGGTTCGAGGCCAGCCTAGTCTACACAGTGAGTTCCAGGACAGCTAGGGCTACACAGAGAAACCCTGTCTCAAAAACAAAACAAAACAAAACAAAACTACAAAGTTTTGCTATATAGCCTAGGATAGCCTCAAGCTTGCGTTCTTCCTGCTTTGGCCTTCCTAGTGCTGGGATTATAGGCATGTTCCACTATACCTGGCTTGAGTTCAGTTCATTTAGGAGAATCCTCACATATATTCAAGCTAAGGCAATAATCAAATCATGTTGATTATAACCATTTTCAGAGACCTGTCAGGATAGTTCTATTCATTACTGCACCAAGGGCAGCTCCTTTCTTCTACCTTACCAGTGTACGTGAAGGTTACGGCACTGCTGTGTTGTTACCCCTTGTGAGGGAAGGGCTGAGATAGCTATGCTGTCTTATATCAGCACTGAGAATGTTGGGGCTGAAGACACACAGTGAGAGTGTCACAAAACAAAACAAACATAAAAGGTAAGGTACTGGCAGCAGAGATACAAGGAGTTATGGGACTCTGCATGGTTTTTCATAAATAAAAAGTACCTCAGTTCAATATTTCTCTGACAATGAAGAAAATAAAATTATACGATGATCACAGAATAAACCCACTACTTTGTTTAATTAAGATACTTGTCCATAGAAATTTCAGCACAAATTATCTTTAAAGCTATACTTACCCATCACTTATAATTTCTGATTTAGATGAGAGTTCCGACCACCACCTTTTTATTACTGCTTGAAGCCAGTTTAAGCCAACAATTACATATCTGAAATAAAATATTGTGACAAAATTTAAGTGTTCTCATATAAGCCTTTAACAATAAGGATATCTCCCAAAAGTTCCCACAGATATACACCAATTACTCCTCTTAAGAAAAATATATTTTACTACTTTCATGATCTACTTCACAAAGCCATAGAAATTACATAGCTGTTCTTAGATCCTCTTGTAATTTTTCTTTAGTGTTTATATTCCTGTCCTAATCATATATAAACTCCTTGGGAACAGAGACAGGGCTGGAGAAAATGGCTCAGTGAGTAAATGAATCTGACCCCAAAGCTGACAACTGAGTAAATCTGAAATTCACTTGGCGGAAGGAGAACCAACTTCTAGAGGCTGTTCTCTCACCACACTGTCACAATAAATAAAGTGTAGGTAAGATGTTTTAATTAAAAAACAAAAAAACAAACAGGCATTATGTATCTCCCAGTCTCCTACCATGTAGTCACAAAACACAAAAATCAAAACAGTTGAGAGAGAAAAAGGAATCTAAAATTTAAATTAGCACTTACTCTTCAAATCTGCTTTGAAGTAAAGACTTTACTAGAGGAAGTAAGTCTACACAGCAGCCAAGTGAGATATATTGCTTTTCTTCCTGTAAACTAAAGAAATTCTAAGTTATAAAATATGAACTGATTAAAAATTGTTTTTCTTTAAAGCTTATTTTTTTTCTGGAAAAAGAAAATTACTGTTTTTACCTATTGGTTAGAACAGGAAGGCAATCTACCACAACTCCAAGGTCTTCTATCCTGCGAGTACAAGACAGACACCATTGCTTAGAGTGTCCTTAGTTACATTCATACTACAATCTCCATTCTCCTTTCGAGGCATTTGGTATTTAACAACTTCAGTATTTATCATAGTCAAGTCAGATATAAAGGGGAAACAGAGACAGGGATTGCTGTCGAGTGCCTGAGTGGGTGTAGGAGCCAGCAGTGGATCAAAGAGAGATACATAGAGCAGGATGCTGACGGTAAGTGCTACAGAGGAATAGAAGAGGACATGGGAAAGGCTGAACCACACGTCTTTACAGAAGGAACTCAATGAGGCACGGAGTCGGCATCAGTACCGCAGTATTTCAGAGACTTACATACGATGAGGAGGGCAATGCTTAAAATTCCCAAAGGGAATTTTTTTTTTTTCAAATGGAAGGTTTCCCACATTTAGTTTTACAGATAAGAAAAGAATCCTAACCAGAAAAAGTAACAGCTTTATTTTCTGTATCTTTATTACACTTAAATTGGTGATGAATGTAATTTAAACTATAGTGTCTCTATGGATGCTAAATACAATGTTTAAATTTTATCCAATAAAAACTTTCTTAAAAGTCACTTTTCAAAACTCATTAAAAATTACTCATGTTATACAGAAACAAAACGTCACACTCACCTCACTAAATAAGCTACAAGTTCACTTATACTTCTCTTTCTCCAGAAAGTCAAAGCTACATTCAATCTCAAATTCCTGCTGAATAGAACCTGGGCCATTGTCTCATGGTCCTGAGAAACCTGAAAGGCAATCATCTAATTTGTTAAAAACCACACTGAAACATGACACAGACTTTTTTTTTCTTTTTATAATGAAAACTGTCTGGTAGACACAGCCTTAAATTATGCAAAGGTAACTCCTTATACTGGCCCTCAAAAAGGAATACTGTAATTTACAGTTGAATACAGTGAATGAATGATGTGAACAAATTTAGTACTTTTCCTTTCCTCCCTCCTTTCTATTGTTTTTTCAAAAGTCCCAGTAGTTTATACAGTTAAGTTATTTCTAGCCGAATTTTATGGATGTGGACACAGAGAAAAGGTAAGCACATAGGCTAGTGATTACCAAATGAACAGCATGAGAGAGGAAGTACAGACTAGAGGGTGGTCCTGTTGCAATCACAACAAATGTGTCATCTAATTTTAAATAAAGTAATGCATTCCTGTTATGAAAACTTTAGCTCAAAACTATTTAAGACAAAAAGTGAATACTCTACTAGGAAAAAGTATCTGATATCATTGTCCAGAAGCAATTACAGTCACTAAACTGGAATGTGTCTTCCCAAATCATGCTTTAGACAATGACAAATAGGTGCATATACTAAAATACATATGGATTTCATTTAACAAAAAATAGTAACATATTTTTAGTCTTTAATTATCACCATTTTTTTTTTTAGATTATTTCTTGTTTTTCTACTAAAGCTGTTCCTGTAAACACTGATGTGTGTAAACACATACATTTGTATAGTTACTTTCCTTAGGGTTAATCTTACAGTAACATTTAAAAGATGTAGAAGCAGGTTTGCTGAATCAGGTCCCCACTGGGCAGTTCTAAGAACCCAGCAAAACTGACTAGATAACAGGTTTCAGTGATCTATTTTTTAAGGTAAAACATCTCTTTACTCTCTTCCTTTAAATTTCTCCTTGCCAACTTGTCACTTTGGGTATTTACAACAGCCTATCAGACATTTCATTCTATTTCAGACACTGTTAGAGACAGGGGGTTCATTTGTACAACTGTCTTAGGCAGTGAACACAATTCAAATACATATGTATTCAATGAGTGGCTATCAGCTAATAGAGTAACACAAGGTGGGGAAAAAGGAAATCAAAACCAAAACAAAGCAACCTAGTAGTACAATAGGAATAAAGTTAAGCTAAAACTGACTTACCTCAGAAAAGAAACCACTATATTTTGATGATGGGTTTTCTGTCTGTGAAGACCCAGAATCACTGGTGTTAATGACAAATGTCCGACTGTCGTGGCGTAAATTTTCAGGTAGATGGCCTGCACAAGCCAGTTCATTTTCTTTATTTGCCATGTCACAGCCCCCACTTTTAGGGGACTGCTTAGGTCTGTAACAAGGATTTGGGAAGGAATGACGAACTAACTTTCTGTGGTAGAGCACCTTGCGCAGTTTATCTGGGCTTTTCACTGCTTGTCCAACTGTCCTGTAAAAAGAATTTAAGTGAAAAAAAAAAAGAAAGAAAAGAAAAAGCAAAGAGAATGTTTTAAATGAAAATTTAAACAGCTACATTTTGCAATTGTAATCCACTAAAATTAGAAGAAAATAATTTAAAAAGTCAAGTCTTAATTTGAAGAGAAAAATAAAAGTCATAAATTATCTGGAAGGGAATAAAATGTGGCAAGTTATACAAAATGGAAACAAAAGGACATAATAGCTTCTATGTTTTAAAATGAAATATTTAAAACCATGGGAACAGAAAAATAGGAACACTTTTCAGACATCTAAGCTTTTTCTAAACAACTAACTCATTTTCTAGTAAGTGAAAAATTATTCACATTTGGATATTTTAAATTTATTTATTTTAAGCTGGAACATATTTAATTTTGTGTATGGAAGAATACAACAAACAAAATCTTATAGAGTACAAGTTTCCAGAAGCTTTGGGAATTATTATTATTTTTACTTTTTGCTTCCTTACCATCACAGAGAAGCAGTTTTCTCTCACCACAATGGACTGCCTCATCACACACCCAAAGGCAACAAGTCAGAGACTAAAGTTCTGAAACTATGAGCCAAAAGAAATGTTTTTCCTGAACCAGGGTCTCTCACCCTGTTGCTCAGGCTAAGCTTGCATTCACAATTCTGCTGTCTCAGCTTCCCAAGTGCTAGGAATCTATGCACTACCACAGTGGCCCCCAAACTGTTTCCCTCTAATAAAAAGTCATGGTACTGGGAAGCTAAGAAACATACTATAATAGAATATTTTACCAAAAGAAGCACCTTTTTCTGAAACAGAAAGACTTCAGAAATAGCTGTTTCACATTTTTATCAATTTCTAATTCTCAGTTTAACAGAAGAAAGCTGCATTCTCATTTCTGTCTCTGTTGTTATTTAATACTATGCAATTTCTGAACAGTTCATACCATACACTTGTAAAAGAGTAGAAATGGACAAGGTGAACAAGGACTTCAGACACCTCCTGTTGGGCTCCAGGGACCCCAGGTCACACCTTGGATACCCGTGGTTTAGAAAGCTGCTTTTAGAGCTTGGTAACTGAACATTTTCACAGCTTTCTGCCTATCTGATCCTGAGCAAACCACATATTTCCTCTGATTATTAGTATTCTAGTCACTGTTTAGGAATAATGGCATCTATTCAGGAATAGATAATGCTGATGCACTAGTGCAGAGCCTAGCACAGAGGAACTACTTGATAACAAGTTAACCATAATCATAATAAAAAGAGTATTTACTTGTTTTATGCCTTCATCTCTAACTACCTTCAATATTTTCCCACAAATTTTAAAGAAGCTCTTACCTACTTATGTAAGCAGCCAACTGTTTTGGAGATCTCTTAACCTGAAAACCAAAGTAAACAGTGGTATCATATTCAGTTTTTTAATAGTTATACAAACTTTATGACTGATGTCAATAATACAGTTTAAAACTCGGTAAGTATTTTTTGGGTCAATGTTTTCTTTGTCTTAATACCATGTTTTCAACCAATAGGTACAATATTGTATTTTGGTATGTTTAGCAAAGTAACATATTATCTTTCTTTTTTTATACAATACCAGTCATATACTGAACTTAAAGGGTGCTTATAATAAGTCAGCTCAAGTTTAATGTGGTTTAAAAAAATATTTCATTGTTAATCAACTTTTCAATGAACACAGTGCATCTTCCTTGTCAACTCCAACATTTGTACCACAGTTTATAGAAACAGTGTATTTGCCAAAATTTTCCTAGAATGTCAGGAATACAGTAGGTATGTTTCAATAATTCTACTTAACCTATGAAATTAAACACATCTGATGGTTTAAACTATCGCACTTACCTCCTTCATGTTCTTACTGGTGAAATTAGAGATCCTCTTTCTAGGAAGATCAATACTATTAGAGAAGTTCCGTTTTTTAACATGGTGAGTATCAAATGCCATAATCTCTTAAGTGCCTAAACAAAATAAAAATAATACAAAATGTAAAAGGCCAAAGAATCCAATCTTTCATTATATGTATATGTATATATATATATAGCTCTGTGCCATGCAAATGAGGCTTAACAATAAAAAAAAAGCCCAGATACACTTCATGTGTGTGTGTAACAAATCTGTAAGATACAGATTATTGTTTTCCTGAGACTCAACCACGTACATGCTGACTTGAAACTGAATGTTCGAACTTTGCCATTGCCTCCTAAACTCTAGAAATCCAAATATAAGCCTTCTTTTAAATATTTAAAACCCGAAACACAGAAAAAGCACAACATATTATTTATTTCCCAGGAAATAAAGGCTCTTCAACTTCTCATGAGCTAAAGCTTAGTCTGGAGGCTGTTTTCCTGTAGAGTGAGAAACAAGGCAAGAAAAAAAACACAGACACTAGATCAAAGTGGTTCCACAATATAAGCCTTATTTTAAAAAGAGAAAGAAAGAAAGAATACCTTCAGTTAAAAGATAGCGGACTAGCCAAGCAGTGGTAGTGCATGCTTTTAATCCTTGCACTCAGGAGGCAGAGGCAGAGGTGGGGGGGGGGGGGCGGCGACAGAGGGGCAGAGGGGCAGAGGCAGGTGGCTTTCTGAGTTCAAGGCCAGCAGATCAAGTCTGAGTTCAGGGTCTACAGATCAAGTTCTAGGATAGCCATTACTACACAGAGAAACCCTGTTTCAAAAACAAAAACAAAAACAAAAACAAAAAAACCACCAACAAAAAAAGACAATGAACTAAAAATATCCAATTACTTCTGTCCTTCTGAAACATCATTAAAATAAAAAAACGAGCACCATTTGTTGAAAATGCTGTCCTTTTTCCACTGGATGGTTTTAGCACCTTTGTCAAAGATCAAGTGACCATAGGTGTGTAGGTTCATTTCTGGGTCTTCAAGTCTATTCCATTGATCTTTCTGCCTGTCTCTGTACCAAAACCATGCAGTTTTTATCACTATTGCTCTGTAGTACAGCTTGAGGTTGGGGATGGAGATTCTCCCAGAAGTTCTTTTATTGTTGAGAATAGTTTTCGCTATCCTGAGTTTGTTTGTTTGTTTGTTTGTTTGTTTGTTTGTTTTTCAAGACAGAGTTTCTCTGTGTAGTCCTGGCTGTCCTGGAACTCACTCTGTAGACCAGGCTAGCCTCGAACTCAGAAATCCTCCTGTCTCTGCCTCCCAAGTGCTGGATTAAAGGCATGCGCCACCCCCGCCTTGCTATCCTGTTTTTTTTTGTTTTTTTTTTGTTATTCCAAATGAATCTGCAAATTGCTTTTTCTATCTCTATGAAGAGGGGACTGCATTGAATCTGTAGATTGCTTTTGGCAAGATAGCCATTTTTACTATATTAATCCTGCCAATCCATGAGCCTGGGAGATCTTTCCATCTTCTGAGACCTTCTTCGATTTCTTTCTTCAGAGACTTGAAGTTTTTGTCATACAGATCTTTCACCTGCTTGGTTAGATTCACACCAAGGTATTTTATATTATTTGTGACTATTGTGAAGGGTGTCGTTTCCCTCATTTCTTTCTCAGCCTGTTTATCCTTCGAGTAAAGGAAGGCTACTGATTTGTTTGAGTTGATTTTATATCTAGTCACTTTGCTGAAGTTGCTTATCAGGTTTAGGAGTTCTCTGGTGGAAGTTTTGGGGTCACTTAAGTATACTATCATATCATCTGCAAATAGTGAAATTTTGACTTCTTCCTTTCCTATTTGTATCCTTTTGACTTTCTTTTGCTGTCTAATTGCTCTGGCTAGGACTTCCAGTACTATATTGAATAGGTAGGGAGAGAGTGGGCAGCCTTGTCTAGTCCCTGATCTTAGTGGAACTGCTTCAAGTTTCTCTCCATTTAGTTTGATGTTGGCTACTGGCTTGCTGTATATTGCTTTTACTATGTTTAGGTAAGGGCCTTGAATTCCTGATCTTTCCAAGACTTTTACCATGAAGGGATATTGAATTTTGTCAAATGCTTTCTCAGCATCTAGTGGGATGATCATGTGTTTTTTTTCTGAGTTTGTTTATATAGTGGATTACATTGATAGATTTCTGAATATTGAACCATCCCTTCATTCCTGGGATAAAGCCTACTTGATCATGATGGATGGTTGTTTTGATGTGGTTTTGGATTCAGTTTGCAAGGATTTTATTGAGTATTTTTGCATCGATATTCATATGGGAAATTGGTCTGAAGTTTTCTTTCTTTGTTCTGTCTTCATGTGGTTTAGGTCAGCATGTAGAAGAATGCAAATCGATCCATTTTTATCTCCTTGTACAAAGCTCAAGTCCAAGTGGGTAAAGGACCTTCACATAAAACCAGATACACTGAAACTAATAGAAGAGAAGGTGGGGAAGACCCTCGAATACCTAGGCACAGGAGAAAAGTTCCTGAACAGAACACCAATGGTGTATGCTCTAAGATCAAGAATTGACAAATGGGACCTCATAAAATTGCAAAGTTTCTGTAAGGTAAAAGACACTGTCAATAGGACAAAACAGCAACTAACAGATTGGGAAAAGATCTTTACCAATACTACATCAGATAAAGGGCTAATATCCAATGTATACAAAGAACTCAAGAAATTAGACTCTAGACAACCAAATAACCCTATTAAAAATGGGGTACAGAGATAAACAAAGAATTCTCAACTGAGGAAACTCGAATGGCTGAGAAGCACCTAAATAAGTGTTCGATATCCTTAGTCATCAGGGAAATGCAAATCAAAACAACCCTGAGATTCCACCTCACACCAGTCAGAATGGCTAAGATCAAAAACTCAGGTGATAGCAGATGCTGACTAGGATGTGGAGAAAGAGGAACACTCCTCCATTGTTGGGATTGCAAGCTGGTATAACCACTCTGGAAATCAGTCTGGTGGTTCCTCAGAACATTGGACATAGCATTACCTGAGGACCCAGCTATACCACTCCTGACATATACCCAGAAAATGCTCCAACATATAACAAGGACATATGCTCCACTATGTTCACAGAAGCTTTATTTATAATAGCCAGAAACTGGAAAGAACTCAGATGTCCTTCAACAGAGGAATAGATACAGAAAAATGTTGATATATTTACACAATGGAATATTACTCAGCTATTAAAAACAATAAATTCGAGAAATTCTTAGGCAAATGGATGGAACTAGAAAATATCATCCTGAGTAAGGTAACCCAATCACAAAAGAACACACATGGTATGCACGCACTGATAACTGGATATTATTAGCTCAAAAGCTCGCAATATCCAAGATCCAACTCAGACCACATGAAGCTCATGAAGAAGGAAGACCAAAGTGTGGGTGCTTTGGTCCTTCTTAGAAGGAGCAACAAAATACTCATGGGAGCAAATATGGAGACAAAGCATGGGACAGAAACTGAAGGAGGGGCTGTCCAGAGACTAATCCACCTGGTATCCAATCCTTGTGCAATCACCAAAGACAGACGCTGATGTGGATGTGAGGAATAGCTGTCTCCTTAGAGGTCTGCCAGAGCCTGAAATATACAGAAGCAGATGCTCACAGCTAACCACTGAACTGATCAAGGGGTTCCCAAGGGAGGAGTGAGAGAGAAGACTGGAGGAGCTGAAAAGGGTTTGCGGCCCTATGGGAAGAGCAACAATACCAACCAACCAGAGCTCCCAGGGTCTAAACTACCAAGCCTGAGAGCACATAGGGAGGGACCCATGGCTCCAGATGTATATGTAGGGAAGGATGGCATTGTTGGGCATAGGTGGGAGAGAAAGTCCTTGGTCCAGTGAAGGCTGGATGCCCCAGTGTGGGGGAATTCGTGGGTGGAGAGGTGGGAGTGGAAGGGTGGGTGGGTGCACATCCTCATAGAAGCAGGAGGAGGTGGGATGGGATAGGAGGTTCCTGGGTAGGTAGAGGGGAATGGAGAAAGGGGGTCACATCTGAAATGTAAATAAAATATCCAATAAGAAAAATGAAGAGGTGTTTAAAGACATAATGTTATCATTTATGGCAAAGAAGAAGAGATAAGAGCAACAATTTAGAAACTGCAAAGCCAAAGTGGTAATTAACTTGGTAGGTCTTTTCAATATAACACACATGAAATTCTGTATTTCAATGTAACATACATAATAAAATTCTAAATCAGCAAATGAAAAGCAGAATGCCCAAAGGTTTAGAAACTGGCACTATCAAGGACATCAAGAAGTCAGGATAAAGGTAACTTGCCCCCCAAAACACCCCAAATACACCGACTGAATACCCATTTAAGACACTCAGGTTGATAAAAATCTTTCCCCAATCCCAGTAAAAGGCCAAAGTAGTTTTTATTGTTTGCTTGCTTCCTTTCTGAGAAAAGGTTTTACTTTGTAGCCCAGACTGGCTTCATATTCCTGATCCTCCTCCTTGGGTCTCCTGACTATCAGGGTTACAAATATGTGCCAGGACTACAATTTTATTCTATGAAAAATGTAAACCCAAGTTTTTACACATTAAATTTCAAATGCCTTTATCTTCTTTCTTCCACGTGACTTATGAAGGCTTGCAGTCAAGCTCATATACTTCAGGGAAGTTCACAAGATTTTTCTTTGGGAACTCTGACCAGCCCCACAGTAAATCATGTATATACACAAACCTGTGGGCACACATAGACAATCCCTTAAAATACAGATCGAGTGACAGTCAAAGTGGCCAAAGAAGTTCCTGTATGTTGTTTACAGTGGTGCTCATCTGTCAAAGCTAACAAAACTACACACAGATACTGACACATACACAAACAAACTGGGTGAGCTGTGGTAGCTTATCCCTGTAATCCCACATTTGAGAGCAGAAACAGACAAGATCTCTTTAGGTTTAATGCCAATCAGGGATATAAAGTGAAACCTAGTCTCAAAAAAAAAAAAAAAGCAATAAAACTATTGTTAGAAATCATACACAAGCTATATTAAGCCAAAAACAAAACAACAACAAAAAAAACCCCAAATACATGGGAATGTAGAAATGGCTC